CAAAATAAAACTTCTGTTGGGGGTGTTGGGGTGATTTCGGGCTATCAGGGTGGAAAGAGGGGCATTAAAGGTGTGAATTGTTCTCTGTGGGGTGCGTGCAGATATGCATGACTTATATAGAATGTCAGCTGGAGAGCAGACATGCAGGTGTGTGAGAGAGTGTTTATTTGTACGTGTGTTTAGACAATTCTTTTGTAATCCAAAGTGCCCTGACCTTTTTGTATTCATGCAGCAATTGTGAACACAGCTTCAAGTGGATCTAAAAAAAAACACTCAGCCCACCCCTCTATTTCTCTCTCTCTCTCTCTCTCTCTCTCTCTCTCTCTCTCTCTCTCTCTCTCTCTCTAAAACACTCAGCCCACCCCTCTATTTCTCTCTCTCTCTCTCCCCCTCTGAAGCAGAAGGTTGTGTGTTGTGTTTATGTATGAGTGAGGGTGAGTGTGTTGAGATGAGTTCAGGCGACGAAGAGGGCGGTTTACGCATCCGCCCCCCATCCAGTCTTAATGTGAAGAAGGTCTACAGCGAAAGCGCAGAAGAACTCCAGTCCCCAGAGGCTCTGAGGAGCAGCGCTATGTCACCTGACCTGAGGCAGGACTTCAACATGATGGAGCAGAGAAAGAGAGTCACACAGATTCTACAGAGTCCAGTAAGACGTCACTCCCACACACACTCGCACCGAAGTGAGAATTCGCATGCTCTTTCTCTCTCTCCCTCCCTTTGCATTTTAAGAGGAGCCCACGCTCGTTTGATTGCATAACAACCAACAATTGGAGATCCGTTGCCATTAGTAACCATGCACAGATCATCAGAAATGCTGGGAGTGGGTGAAATGAATAAAGAACCCAAAGTGATTTCTGTGCATCATGTTGTAGCAGTACGTTGAGGGCCGTAACTCTAGAGGCACATTTCTGATGCCTGAAGCTCAGTCTCTTATCTGATTATAGCTTCATCTATTTTTAAAATCCATATAAAATGCAAAATTTGAAGCTGTATAATCAACAAAACTTTCATGACGTTCATGTCCTGGTTTTGGCTTAATACACAGCAAAATCTTTCATAGTTTGCAGCCCTGAGGCTTTGAGGTTGAAGTTCATAGATTCAACTTAAATTAAATTTGAATGATGTGATGTCCATGATTTTTGTTTTTAAATCAACATCACTATTTTAAGTTAAAATGTTCATAAGCATATGTCTCCTTATTCTGTGACTGGTCAGCATGTTTATTTTTATAATTGTATTCACTGTTTTTTCTTCATGAGTGGATTATACTAAATGGTCCTTTGGTGTGGCATATTTGTATGTTAAAGTACAAATATTCATGCTTGTGGCCATAAAAGCTGAACCACTCTTTCACAATTTGAGCCCGATGAATCCTGGCATTGTCACCTTGGAATATGCCCGTGCCATCAGGGAAGAAAAAATCCATTGATGGAATAACCTGGTCAATTCAGTATATTCAGGTAGTCAGCTGACCTCATTCTTTGGGCACATAACGTTGCTGAACCTAGACCTGGCCAACTTTCTGCAGCAACCCCAGATCATAGCACTGCCCCCACAGGCTTGTACGGTAGGCACTAGGCATGATGGCTGCATCACTTCATCCACCTCTCTTCTTACCCTGATGCGCCCATCACTCTGGAACAGGGTAAATCTGGACTCATCAGACCACATGACCTTCTTCCATTGCTCCAGAGTCCAATCTTTATGCTCCCTAGCAAATTGAAGCATTTTTTCCCGATTAGCTTCACTGATAAGTGGTTTTCTTAAGGCTGCACAGCTGTTTAGCACATTGTGAGTGTGGAAATGCTCTTACTTTCACTGTTAAACATAGCCGTGAATACTGTTTGTTTTTCCGATATGGTTGTTTTAAGAAATGAGAGGCTACTCACTGCATCAGTTAGGGTTAAATAACTAGTTGCCAGCTGAAACATAATCATCCATGCAGTAATTATCCAATGGGAGGCTCTACCTATTTGCTTAGTTAGATCCAGGTGGTGACTTTTTTTTGCACGGGCAGTGTATTTGAACACTGTCACACTTAAAATGAATTTATATTCAATATTCAATATTCAATTATATTCAATCATTTTATTGCATGCTGTTCAAAAGTTTGGGATTGGTAAATTTTTTTAAATTTTGAAGTTGTTTCTTATGTTCACCCAGGTTGCATTTATTTGCTAAAAAAACATAATATTGTGAAATATTATTACTATTTAAAATAATTGTTTTCTATTTTAATATGTTTTAAAATGTAATTTATTCCTGTGAGGCAAGGCTGAATTTTCAGCAGCCATTACTTCAGTCTTCAGTTTCACATGATCCTTTGATGATTTGATGCTAAAAAAACCATTTATTATTATTATTTATGTTGAAAACAGTGCTGTTTAATATTTTTGTGGAAACCTGGATTCTGGATTCTTTGATGAATAGAAAAATCAAAAGAACATGGTAATATTTTAATCAATTTAGTGCATCCTTGCTGAACAAATATTACTGACCCCAACCTTTTGAATGTTAGTGTAGATCAAATAAATATAAATAAATCATAAAAATATGGAGTAGCAACAGCTTATGCAAAACCTTTTCTCAGAACTACTTTTCTTGCATTTCTTGAAATTACATTTAACCAACTGGTCTTTCTAGTGACTGCAAAAGTCAGTTTATGTGTTAAATTAATAAACAGAATATTGATTATATTAAAACCTTACCAAATGTCTTTTTGTGAAATATTTTGTTTGGAAAATACAAATTTCTTTAAAATAAATGCCACTTGGTTTGATATTTTGTTATCTAATGCATTGACATACATGTGTTGATAATGTGTTAAAATGTATTTGTGTGTTGCAGGACTTTAAGGAGGAGTTGGAGTGCATGGTAAAGGAGCAGTGCTCCAAAGGCAGTAACTCCAGTGGTCTCCTCGGTCACATCGCACACCTCATCATCAGCAATACATTTAGCAACACTGGAGTATACAGTCCCAGCAGTGAGTGCACACACACACTTTCATTGACACTTTATACATTCCCATTGAAGATTATTTGTTGTTGCCATGGTCAACAGATGGCAGGCATGTAATTCTGTATGGTTATCAGCTAGAACTCAGATAAAGCCAGATATTTATTTTTGTTGTTTGGCTGTGTGTGTGTGTGTGTGTGTGTGTGTGTGTGTGTGTGTGTGTGTGTGTGTGTGGGTGTGTGTGTGTGTGTTTCCAGGTGCCGGGTCAATTAGTCCAGTGAATGATTTGTGTGGGGTGGAGTGGTTTAGTTGTTCTAAAGCTGAGAGGCAGGGCCGCTGTAAACTCGCCTGCTTGTACCGGCTGCTGGACTTATACGGAAATACCCACTTCCCAAATACATATGTAACTGTGAGTACTCACATTTATTTCACATTTTGGCTTTTTTTTCCCCACACAGCACACAAATTGTTTTTCAAATCCGAACTAGGACTGACTGTGCTCACTGTCATTTTGCATGTAATAAAATCAGATGCTTTTGTTCAGACAACATTGGTTACCATAGTAATGGCTTGAGTGTCAGAACAATGCAGAGAGACAAGAGAATAGCTGCCATTGTGGAAAGAATAGACGAAAAACTGTAAATTCTACTTTTGCTCTGATCTGACATGACATCTCTCGATGATGCTGAACTCATCAAATTACAATGGCATCAGATGGATTACTGTGTTTTACACATTTTACACATTCATGCATACACTCAGTGTCACTGGGACACTACCCTTATAAAGGTACTAATATGTACTTTTTAGGTACAAAAGGTGACAGCTTTTGTACCTTTTTTTTCTAAAAGTGTATATTCCAATATATTCACCATTGATTTGCGAGTGCAAATAAGTGAATTGAGACGGCTGTCCTCAAAAGTTCACTTTATGTAGGACAGGGGTGTCCAATGCTGCTCCTGGAGGGCCCACGTCCTACTGATTTTAGTTCCAACCTGCTCCAACTCACTTGCCTGGAAGTTTCTAGTAAGTCTGAAGACCTTGATTAGCTGGTTCAGGTGTGTTTAATTAGGGTTGGAGCTAAACTCTGCAGGACAGTGGCCCTCCAGGAACAAGGTTGGACACTCCTGATGTAGGACGTCACACTTATTTTGCACCCTGATTGATGAAAAATCTTGAAATGTTATCTACCATTCAGATTGAAATGCATTTTCAAATATTGCATTTAAATGTATACATATAAATATGGTTTACATCAAGTTTGTAATAATCAAATGTCATGTTTTGTTTTTTGCTGTTTTGAAGAAAAAATGTCTTACAGTTTGTTCCTCATTTTAGCTTATTCTAGCCAAATGTCGCCTACTTAAAAAGGAAGAGGCCACCTGACCGGCATTTTTACATGCTGTTTAATTGGGTATTTTACTGAAATAGATTGTGCCACAATACTAGACGTGTGGTGTGCCAGTCTTTGTGAACGGTTGTAGAAAAAAACACTGTAAAATAATGGCAATGTGTAGAGAACTTCTCTATATTCAAAAGAAATATGTATTATATTATTTCACTATGTTGTATGTTTGATAGCAGAATTTATTATAATATACTCTCTCTGTCTTTCTTTCCTTCGCTCTTTCACGCTTTATCTGTTATTTTCTTCTCCAGCTCCGTATCAACAAAGAGCAGGATCATATTCTTATTCTTCCTAAAGGACTGTCGTTCTCAGAGGCCACAGCAGCTAGTCTGGTACACACACCCACACACATCCTGAACATGAAATTTCAGAAAGTTGGAAACCCTGACAACTGAATATAATTACACCATTATATATAATATGTGGAAGAATATATGAAATAAGGCAATAAATAATTTTTATCTTAGCCTTGTAATGTTTTTTTTTTTTCAAAGGTGAAGGTGAATCTGATTGGTGAGGGGGTTGATCAGGGAGCCACTGCATTGCCTGTGGATGTTTTGGGATTCAAACCACATTCTGCAGTGTATTCTGCCAGACCAGATGCCAAATGTGTTATACATACATATACACCGACTACAGCTGCCGTGAGTAATAACACACACACAATCAGTGTGTATATATATATATATATATATATATCTATGTCCTGTGCCCCCTTTTG